TTATTAGCAGACACTTTATTAGAAGACACAAGCACAGCAAGTTTTACAAAATACTTGCAAAATATAAAAGCTTAACCTGTATTGAGTTAATAAATAACAATTAGCTATACATTTTAAGTTGCGAAATGGTGAAAACTAAACGTACGCAAAACTGTAAATATCCAAAATGTATTTAAAAATCTGGAGGTTTTGATTTTTTACTTACATCTTTTAGAGTTTATAAAAGACCCCCAAAAAATATATTCTCTGAAAGCATAGGACCAGTAGAATACAAAGAAGGTGCTACGGATTTTCAAGGCCCCGCTATATTTGCGCAAGCGCTTATCAAATCGCTATTTTCACTAAAAAACACTAAAATCCTTATTTGCACACATATAACTTATAAAATTCCTACTAAAGGCCTTGTTCACATGGGGTGTACTCAGCGTACGCCCATTGAGGGTCATATGGAGGGCCGTGTTTATGTGTTCTGTGCATCCCTGTGCAGGCAATCCTATTCATGTCAGTTGGGACGCAGTGGCTGCAAGGACAGATCTGACATTTGTGTGGGTGTTCGTGCTTGGTCCCAAACGCAGTGTGAGTTCAGAGAAATGCACTCACACGGATGTCAAGTTTAAAAAAAACAAAGGAAACAGCAGCGCGGGATTTCCATCAGCAATATATGTAATTTTTATTGAAACTACGGATGCACAGAAATTTCGGTGGCCAAAACGTTTAGGCTGAAAACACCCCTTTGGCCATTGGCCAAAATGAAAGAGAGCACCGATGCAGGTGCCGAAAAAACCCCACCCCTCACCGCCGCTCGGTAGTTCTCAGCCTTATCTGAGAAACCATCGATCCTGGCGCTGGGCATAGAAATGAGTGAAGGAAAGATGGCCGCCACTCATCTCTATGCCCTTGGAGGACTGAAGCAATGTCACCTCCCGATCCGGCTTTTTTTTTAAGCACTAGATCAATGCTTTTTTTTGATCCAATACTTTACATTGCAGAGGAGAGATGTGGGGTCTTATTGACCCCATATCTCTCCATAAAGAGGACCTGTCACTAATTAGTTTTATCACAAGGGATGCATGCATTTCTTGTGATAAGAATAAAAGTGATTAATTTTTTTTTAAAAGGACAGTGCAAAAAAACAAAAACAATTAAACACATTTTTTAAAAAAAGTTTAAAGTGCCCCCCGTAGTGGTGAACACATACATAGGCCATGCCCACATATGTAAACGGTGTTAAAACCACACACGTGAGGTATAGCCATGAACGTTAGAGCAAGAGCAATAATTCTCGCACTAGACCTCTGTAACTTTACACTGCTAACCTGTAGAAATTTTTAAAGCATCACCCATGGAGATTTTTAAGTACCGTAGTTGCACGCCATTCCACGAGCGTGCGCAATTTTAAAGCATGACATGTTGGCTATTTACTTGCCATAACATCCTCTTTCATATTTTACCAAAAAATTGGGGTATATATTGTTTTTTTGTTTTTATTTAATCAAAGTGTATTTCTCTCCAAAAAATAAATATTCATTTTTAAAAACTGCATTTCGGTTTTCGGCCAAGTGCATTTTGAATTTTCGTATTCGGCACCAGAATTTTCATTTCGGTGCACCACTAATTGAAACAATTAAAAATAGTACATTCACGTGTAAAGTTCTCAGGTATATTCACGTGCAAGCGGCTCAGGTACAGATCTCAACATGGAAATAACATCAAGTGTGTTAAGTAAATGACCATTCCAAATCCCTCAGTCGGCATATCGAATGACTGAATTTGACAGCTGTCAAACCCTGCTAATGGCCGACACCGCTAACACTGCCTCCTGGATCTCTGTACACTGTAGGAGGAAAGGACCCTATTTAAATCCCCACACAATCATTTGGGGCAGGTTATGACAAAGGTGTGTCCTTTGAAATGCGTTACCACCCCCTCCCTCTCCTCCATTCCTACTGTGTACGGCGATCCACAAGGCAGTGTTCGTGTTGTCAGCTGTCAAATTCAGTCCCTCGATATGACGGCTGAGGGATTCGGAATGGTCGTTTACTTAACACACTTAATGTTATCTCCATGTTGAGATTTGTACCTGAGCCGCTTGCCAAGAACTTTACACGTGAGTATACTATTTTTAATTGTATTCAATAAAATTACATATATTGCTGGCGGAGATCTCGCGCTGCAGCTTCCTTTGTTTTTTTTCAAGCTGTTTAGATCTTCCCGGGTCTATTGGCAGCTGAAGGATCCTTCTGCTGTGTCCATCCTGAGATTCGCTTCCCTCATCCCTGCAGAATATCGGACATTGGATTTGGAAAGCTGGGACCTGTAGTGCGCTAGATGGGTTTGTGATTTGTTTTACGGATGTCAAGTTGGAAACAGTAGCTGTGTCCATGCAGCCACTACGTCCCAATTGACATGAATGGGACTGCCTGCACAGGAATGTACAGAATGCCTGTGCATTTCTGTGCAGCTACTTTGTCCCAATTGACATGAATGGGACTGCCTGCATGGGGATGCACGGAACACCTGTGCATCCCTGTGCAGCTAAAACACAGCCTCCCTGTAGTATGCCCTGTGTGAACGAGGTGCATTTGAACTGCATTTCTGCCACCCCCCTTAATGGATAAGATCACCTTTTGACAAAATATAATAAATGCACATTATTTTGCAGGTAAGAAAATGTGCATTTATTTTGTGTCTGTTTCAGATCGCTGGTGCCATGCAGGTCTCCTGCAGACCTGACAGTATATCTTTTTGCCCGTACATCTATTACGAGCAAGCCGATACACTCTGACAGGAACAATCAATGAAGTACCGCAGTGCCGTGGTATTTCATTGATAACTACATGCCAACAGCTGCTAAGGCTTGTAGTTATCAATTACTTAGTTTTCTCATTCAGAGGGCTCCGCCCACCCAGCAGCATTTTTTAAAATTTTAACAGCTAACGGGGGGGGGGGGGGGAAGATCCCCCGCCAGCTGTTAAAGCAGAGCAGGTCCTCCCTTAATATGGGTGTAACATGTTATGAAAGGTGAACCTATCCTTTAAGTTACAATAGGCAGCAGATGGGGGGGGTTTACCTTTGCACCCATGGCAAAGTTGACCCGACTTGTAGTGAAGCAGCCTTCTGAAAGCTACACATTCAAGTCAATACGGACGCACTGCACATGCCCTGCAACTGCGTGCAATGCATACAGTTGCAGCGCATTTGTCAGCAAAAATGGGGTTAAAAGAGGTGGTAAGGAGGCATCGACTCACTTCTTCAGTGCCTTGTCAGTAGGCACTGGAGTGCAATTTGAATGTAGATTGGGCTTCAAAAGGCAAGGGAGACTTCTAAATCTACCCCTACTTTCTTATTATTTTTTTTACAAGTATATTATTTTTAATAATGTCTCATTTTTGAGACAGAAAAAGGGACTGAGGACTGTCCCTTTCTTTGCAGTCTGGGCTGCATTGTAGATGAATGAATAGAAATCTGTACAGACTCCTATTCATTCACAAAATGACATAGTAAACACTGTTTACCATGTTTCATTCACAAACTGAAACATAGTAAACACTGATGAATGAACAGTGTTCACTACTGATCACCTTGCTCATTCAGTAAAGAAAAGGGGCTGGTAAACACAGGTTTACCAGCCTCACCGCTCTCCATCCTGACAGTCACGATCTCCCAGGCTGCAGATGGGAGGGGGTGGAGGGAATGCCGGCCAGCAGCAGTGCATGGGGGTGGGAGGGGCATGAAGGATCGTGGGGGGGAATTGGCCCATACCTGGGGATCAGTGCTGGGGGGTGCAGGAAGGAGGCAGGGGTCACAGAAGCAGGGAAGGCTCTGCAATTACTGGCGGGAGAGGCAGAGGAGGGAAGCCGGCAATTGCAGTGGGTGAGAGGCAGAGGAGCGGCAGGTGAGGGTCACATTTTTAGGTAATAGCTCTGACCATGAGCTTATAGCAGAAGCAGAAAGTCACATACGGACCTGGCAGCAAAAGGGTTAAAGCCTTTACAGGTTACCAGTTCAGTGTTACACAAGAGGTCTGTTGCTAAAATGATTGCTCTTACTATAGCATTTGCAGCAATACCTAATGTGTGGTGCGAATAACATTGACATGTGCTTGTGGGACCTAAGTATGCATTAACCTTTGCTTTGAGCATGGGGAGAGGCGCTTAAATTTTTTTTTTATTATTTTATTCAATCTTTTGTTACAGTTTCTTTAAAAAAATGTTTAGCACTTTTATTGCTATCACAAAGGACGAGCAACATCCTTTGTGTGACAGCATGGACAGTGACTGGTACTCTTTACGGAGAGATCTGGGGTCTATTAGACAAATCTCTCCTCTGCCCTTAAAAGCATTTGATCCAATTGACCAAGTTGATCAAATCTGACCTTCCATATCTATGGTCAGCCGGTGGAACTACCACCTTCAGTTCCGAACTCCCTGAGGGAATCGGGAGAGCTTCGGAAGGTGGTAGCTTGGACCCTCGTCAGTTACATGTAAAAGTGACCCTGAAGTTCTTCAGCTGTTCGGATTGCTCTTGCATTTTAAAGCATCTCTGTCTGAAAACATTGATACCTGGGTCAACCCGAGGGCATATGGATGCGTCCCATAGGCAGAAGGTGGTTAAACCAGTATCTCTAAACTGGAGCTGTCACTTTTAGGAGTGGTAGTAATATCACCACTAAAAGTTTCCTTTCTTTTTTTTCTATATTGTTAAACAGCAAGTAGCAACTAGACCACACAAATTTATTTTTATGTTGGGGAATCGACTGTTCAGCTCTAGCTATACTCACATTTATATTTTCTGCACGGTTTCAGTTTCTCAGTGATTTTATGCTGCCTATACTTTTAATGAATCCCATCCTATTGCTTTCTCCTGAAAACAGTTTCCAGGGAGAACACAGACCTGTGCCTTTACAATACAAACTGCTAATTTACAAATTCTGTATAAAAAAAAAAGGCATTTTATCACAGAAAGCCAACTGAGGCATCAAAATAGACTTTTTATTAATGGTCTTTAAATGTCAAACTTAGAAGCAGTCTTTGAAGTCCATCATCATTTGTCTTCAGTGTATTAATGTTGAAAAGGCTGCCCTTTTTAATAAAAGTCTCAAATGGTAGGACACCCCCTCCTACACCAAAATAATGAGACTTGCTTGCTAGGTATATATTCCCATCATCAGCCAATAGATTCTGAAAGAGATCATGCAGAGCTTCATAGTAATTAGGATTATATATGGTCTCTGATGTAAGAATAATATCATATTTTACCAATGGCGTTTGATTTTGCATTAATATTGTAAAATTTGACCAATCGCCAGAGAAGAAGCGGCACTTGGATAGGAGCCCTGCATGGGTTTCTGACTTTTTGAGTCTTTTTTTACTTGGTTCTTCTGTAACATTTCCAGTTTCATCGGTACTGTCACAGTTGACCAATGCATTAGGTATAGTGATCTCTTCTATCACTGTGTTGTTGTAGTCCTGAAAATGCACTTCTCTGGCTTTTCGCCTTAGAGCCTCGATTCCCAACAAACCAGCCCCACAGCCAAGATCCAAAACTATTTTTTCATTGAAGCTGACATCTTCATCTTCAAAATATCTGAGAAGATCAAATGTGCACTCCCAAATTTTCATGCCGCCTTCATATACCCCAGAAATCAAATCAGAGTTAGCTGTAACAGTTTTACTCACTATATTTTCACCATGCAAATCTTCATTTGACAATGTCATTTCCACTACAGACACGTTTACGAATTGCAGATCTGAGCTTTGTTCAACAATTTTATTTTCCAGCACTTTGTTAACATCTTGTGGAATTTTATGTTCGATGGCTGGTTTACAGCAAACTTTTTTTTCTCCAGCTTTGCAATCCTTGCTCATACTGCTGCCATTTAATACATCATTATTACAGGAGAAATTCAGTTCTATTTCCTTCTCTTTGTTTTTAGTGGATAATTGTATCTGTACTTCTTTGCTTTCTGATAGGTGCATATCATGCTCTGCTTTCTCCCCTTTAAGGTCTGAAAGACCAGTACATCCCACCTTACCATCTTCTGTTTCTTCAATACTGAAATTAAACTGAAATGACATTTTCCACTTAACCAGCTTTATTGTAGAAAAATATAAAGACCTCAGTTGGTAGAAAAGTCTTTTACAACCCTAAAAAAAAAGAAAATGTTATATACCCATACATATATCGTATTATCCACAAATGCAAACAGAATATGATAGAACATTAACAATCTAAGGCCCAGAGAACAAAACATTATGATACCTACAGACTCCTGATAAAAACATCCAACGAAACCTTTACTCACTGCAAGTAAGAACTAATGAATGTACATCCAAATTGGATGTTTCCAAAAAGGGCGAAAAAGCCTACTTTAGAGCATTAAATGGAGGCTTCATCTTGGCCAGTGATGCTACCACCTAAGAGTGCCCTTGTATGGACCTTTTGGAGGTGTGGTGCCGGGACAAGTGCTCAGCCCCCATTGAGAGTGAAGAACCATTTGTTTACTCCACTGTCCTAGACATTAATTGGCTTTATGGACTCACCTGCACAGCAGAGTTTGACAGTTACACAAGAACAGGTGCAACGACCCAGATGCAAAGGCTTAGCATCTGGCTCCATGTGCCCATCCCTGTGTATATATATATAAAACCTGGCTGTGCAGATGAGTCCAAACAGCCGAACAAGTTCATTCACTAATATGAGCTGCCTATACACAGCTCTGCACTAGGGCAGAAAAATAAACAAATGTATGAATTAATCTCATCTCACTCTGCTCAAACTGTAAGAAAACCTTTTTAAGTAAAGTTTATAGCTTTCATTTACAAACAATAAAAGAAAGCAAATGCTTGGCAGTAACATTTAATACTAGAGTGAACTGTAAATAGCTTCAACAGTACAACTAGACATGTAGAAGCCTTGCATTGCTTCTGCAGTTTATCTGGATCAATGCCGCAATGTAATAATGTACTCTGGACGCATCCTTTTCACATAACTACTACCAGTGTCCAGGTTCAGGGCAGTATCAGTGCTGTGTCTGACAGGCTTCACACAGTTTTCTTAGGATAAAAAGCTGTTGTTACTACATGTAAATATTCCATTGCATATGGCAGTCCAAAAATGCATTGGCATACAGTATATATTCCTATAGGAAGATCACAGGACTCAATAAAGCCTCAATAACACTTTTCTAACAGTAGATCTCTTTAAAACTACCTGCGATTAATTCAGGTAAACATACGAGTCACTTTCCGTAACATTCATTCACACTACCTCCATTTTGAGAACCTGCTGCTGTGACAGTGACAGATTCTTACTGAACTACTGCCAGTTAATAGAATAGAAAACTGATGGTAATTAATACCAGCTAGGAACTAATGTACAGAGGTATGCCAGTACTTGAGAGTGGGGCATGTATGTGCTGGGAAGTTGACATTAAAGGGTAACTCCACTTTCTTGAAAAAAGAAAAAAAATTATATATATACAGTTGTGTTCAAAATAATAGCAGTCAGACATCACTAACCTGATCAATCACTGTTTTTGGTAGAAATGATATTTCTGCATGGCAAATAATTTACTAGCAGGTATAGTAGAGTAATAGAAATCCAACAGACCCAACAGTCATGACATGCTTGCTGCTGATTCTGTGTAATTGAATCACTAATTGAAAGGGGCACGTTCAAAATAATAGCAGTGTGGAGTTCTATTAGTGAGGTCATTCATTCTTTGAAAAACAGGTGGCAATTATTGCCCTTATTGAAGGAAGAAGGCAGCAAATGTACATGCTGGTTACAGTGCATTTCTCTCTGAAATTCTGAGGAAAATGGGTCGTTCCAGACATTGTTCAGAAGAACAGCGTACCTTGATTAAAAAGTTGATTGGAGAGGGGAAAACATATAAAGAAGTGCAGAAAATGATAGGCTGCTCAGCTAAAATGATCGCAAATGCTTTAAAATGGCAACCAAAACCTGAAAGACGTGGAAGAAATCGAAAAACTACCATTCGAATGGATAGAATAGCCAAAATGGCAAGGACTCAGCCAACAATCAGCTCCAGGAAGATCAAAGAAGGTCTAAAGTTCCCTGTGAGTACTGTTACAATTAGAAGATGCCTATGTGAAGCCAAGCTATCTGCAAGAAGCCCCCGCAAAGTCCCACTGTTGAGAAAAAGATTTGTGCTGAAGAGGTTACAATTTGCCAAAGAGCACATTGACTGGCCTAAAGAGAAATGGTGCAACATTTTGTGGACTGATGAAAGTAAGATTGTTCTTTTTGGGTCTAGTGGCCGGAGACAGTTTGTCAGATGACCCCCAAACACTGAATTCAAGCCACAGTACACTGTGAAGACAGTGAAGCATGGTTGCGCAAGCATCACGATATGGGGATGTTTCTCATACTACGGTGTTGGGCCTATTTATCGCATACCAGGGATCATGGATCAGTTTGAATACATCAGAATACTTGAAGAGGTCATGCTGCCTTATGCTGAAGAGGAAATGCCCTTAAAATGGGTGTTCCAACAAGACAACGACCCCAAACACACCAGTAAACGTGCAATATCTTGGTTCCAGACCAACAAGATTGATGTTATGGAATGGCCAGCCCAATCCCCGAATCTTAATCCAATAGAAAACTTGTGGGGTGACATCAAAAATGCAGTTTCTGAGGCAAAACCAAGAAATAGAGAAGAACTGTGGAATGTAGTCCAATCATCCTGGGCTGGAATACCTGTTCACAGGTGCCAGAAGTTGGTTGACTCCATGCAACACAGATGTACAGCAGTTCTCAGAAACAGTGCTTATACAACTAAATATTAATTAAGTGATTCAAAGGAAAGCAAAATCTTCAAACATTTTTCAGTTTATATAGTGAATGTTTGAGTTTGTAAAGAAGAATACAAACACTGCTATTTTTTTTGAACAGTCTAATATTCACTTTTCTTCAATTTTTTTAGAGGAACAACACAAATTTGATATATTTTTCTTCATGTTTTGATTTGGAATAGAATGTGTAGTGTTCCCAATGCATTTGTGTGTATGGAAATAAAAGCTATTAGAAGGATTTTGAGCTTTATTCACTTTTTTCAACACACTGCTATTATTTTGAACACAACAGTATATCATATACAATTGCTACACAAGTCATATTGTAAGTGAATGTTACTGAAATTACCTTTCCTTTTCAATCTGCTGTGCTGCAATTTTCTGGGAAAATTCAGTGCAATATGACTACCTGGAGGCATTCTGTACACAGGTGGTGCACAGAACTTTCCCAGAAATGTAATTTCCCACTTGTGTGCTCTGCTCTATCCCTGGTCCCAATCAGCTATCAGCTGGTCACTGGGTGGGTGACAGTATGGACTCTCTGACCTCAGTGCTGGGCTGTGACAGGCGCACAAATTGAGCACAAGCACCAACAATTTTGGTGTGGCAGCCAAAGGAATTCTAAAGGATATCAGCAACACCCTTTATGAATTCCTCTATAAATGCTGACAATAACTTTCACTGTATTTGTTAATTTAAGCACAAGAGAATCCATTTTGTATAATGTCCATTTTACAAAGACTAACATTTTCCTAGAATGTTCTCTCTCATCCCCTCCTTTCTCAAGGTTTTAGTTTCACAAAACTGGATAGCTGTTGACATATAACAAGTGACATTATTCACACGTCACTACCTGAATGGAGTCTGCATGTTCTTCCTGTGCCTATGTGGGTTTCCTCCAGGTACTCGTTTCCTCCCACACTCCAAAGACATGCTTGGAGGAGTAAATTGGCTCTAGTATGTGTATGAATGAGAGTTAGGGACCTTAGATCACACCTTTTTTATCTCATGTATAAAATAGAACGTAATAATAAACCTCTTCAGAACAGAAGCTTTGACAGAATCCAGTGTCTAGTCTGGTTTTTTTTTTCTGTTCTTTGCAATTGCAAGGCCCTCTGATTCCTCCTGTATTGAACTGTATTGTAACTGTACTGTCTTGCCCTCATGTTGTAAAGCGCTGCGCAAACTGTTGGCACTAGATAAGACCTGTATTATGATAATAACAACTGTATATTTTTGCCATTTTTAGAGCCTTTTGCCTTTTTTTTCTGCCTCTAAACGCCCCTCGATGTTACTCTACGCATCCATGCACATACATGTTTGCAGGTGTTTAGAGGCAGAAAAAAAAAAACAGGGCCATTCAGGAGAGGAGCATTCTAGCATCAAAAAAATGTTTGACATGTCTAAACGTGCTTTAGTGCTAGATGTGTCATGCACTTGGGTGTTCATTCACTCCAATGGACAAATTCATATTCTGCCCAAAGGAATGAGCAAATGTCCAAGCGATCAGCTTGCCTAACTGGGCTTGCAAAACGTAACTTAAGACTTTTTAATGCTGCTTTTTCCCTCCCCTTGCACACAGGCATCCAAGGGAAGAAAAAACAGGATTTTATGTTACTCACCATAAAATCCCTTTCTCTGAGTTCATTGACAGACATAGCTGCCTTTTCATTACCCATGACCAAACAGGGTTTTATAGCCCCACCTGCAAGAGAAGGACACTAGGCAGAAAAAGTTTCAGCACCTCCTATGGGCAGTCCTCTCTGGTCATAAAACCCCCTCTCTGCTATAGGCTTACAGTTCGTTCCGATCCCAGGACTTTGCCCCAGCCCAAACAGGCTGACACCCGCAGTGACCAGAGTCACCCGAAGAGCAAGGGAGGACCTTCTGTTTCGCACAGGAAGTGACCAAAGCCACATGAGAGAGGCCCTTGTCGACTACCCCTGGTAAATTTGAATGTCCAAGCTAGTCCATTTGGATAAGATTGCCTTCTGCAGTAATCTCATATGGAAATGGACACACGGAAGTACTCTGAAGGTAGCCACCATCAGGCCTAGACTGCACGGAAAAACGCAGGGAGAGTCGAGTCCTGTTTGACCGCTGACCAAAGTTTCTGTAGCCTGTCCAATGGGCATAACTCTGAGTCAAGGATTAGCCCCAGATACTACAAGCATTTGGATGGGATCAACACCGACTTCTGGAGGTTCAGGATCTGAAGCCTTGTAGGGAACACATGGTGATCTCCACACTGCCCAGCAAGTACGAGTTAATCTCCCCCCATAGGAGCAAGTCATCAAGATAGCAAAGCACAGCAAGCCCTTGTCATC